TTTCTGTATCCTGTCGACCGAAGATAGTTGCACACGAGTAAGCGCTGTCCTTGCTGTCTTTTTTATTTTTTCTTGCCTATTATGTGATCAATAACCACTCCCCTTATTGCTTTGTGTGCGTACATTCTCATTTCAAACTCCCTTTATACGACAGTGCAGTTACAAATGTAAGCGCCCAAACTGACGACTCCATTATCCCTTGCTCGATCTTTTTTGTCACGCTAAACACCCTACGGGACATATCAAGCACCTGCTTTTTTACCCGTTATAAATCATTGTTCATTGTTCATTTGTTCGTTGTGTTACTTGCGCGTTTTTGACTCTGGTGGTAAATTCATGCATTTGTTAGACAAGTGCAAGGTTATGGGTCCTACTGTATCGTGCAGCTAACTTTCTGCTTATTTTGTTGACTAAGTGCTCGATGGAATCTTTGGAGACATGAGGAGTATGAATACATTGTGGAGCAAGGAGGGCTATAGAGTGATGCATTTGTTTATAGAACTGCACCACAGCTGTGTACATATTAGTAGAGAGGAAAAATACATCCCAGTCGGAGAAACGAATGAACTGCTGAAAGCATTCCCACTTTGTCTTATGGGTTACAACTGGCGTTGTAGAGGTGAGACTATTAACCATTTCAATTTGGAAACTGAGTCGGATCATGTTATGGTCGCTGCCAGGGAGATTGTTTAAGATCTCGGTCTGTGGATTGGGTATCCCCAGTGTGAATATTAATTTTAGTACATTGGCGGACCTGGTTGGACTGGTAATCCATTGTGTCCAGTCCCCAGCTCTGATGGAAGATGTGCAAGGTAGACGTTGGGTCGAATGATCAGCGTATGTTCGGTAGGTTGAAATCGACGGCAATAATTTTCTGGCTGCGTGGCAACTCTGATGCGAAGTCAAATGTAGGAGTGATGTTGGTGGTACTTATGTTAGACGCATTCGGTGGGTTGTAGTTACAGGCGAGCAATGTGTAAGATGAGATATCCGCAAATGAGAGCCAAATAGGTTCAGGGATATTTTCCACTTGTGAGTGGTCTATAGGTTTAGCTGTAAATGTTTTGCGTAGTTATATAATACACCCTCCACCTTTTCTGTCGCAGCGATCTTTTTCAAATAGGAGGTAGTTTGGAATCATCAGAGTAATCAAGTGTATCTGAGAAACACCATGTTTCAGTGACCATGATCGCTTGTGAGTCATTGAATTGTGCAAGTGTGTTTATGAAATGTACTTTTTTGTTTATGGATATGGCATTAATCAGAATAACTGAAAATGTACTAATTATTGGGGAATGATCGTTGTGCGTTGTGTGACCTTCTGAATCTTTGTGTTCGAGCATGATGTACATGGTAGGTAAGTGCGAGTATGGTGGGCCCGAGTTAGCCATTAGAACGTTTGTTGATAAGGGTAGCATGTCATGTGTGGATATCGAGACAGTTGGGGGCACGACGGGAACCGAGGCATCATGCTTAGGTTGCCGTTGGTTTGGCAATGGACTAGTTTTGTCATGTGGACAAATTGGAGGAAGAGTGGGATCAAGATGTTGACTTCCGCTGGATGTATCTGATATGGGAATGGGTGCGAGTGCATTCTATGGCACAGGAAAAGGAAATGAACCGCTCAGCACCGTTATTTCACGCACCAGGCTCCGATGGCTCGGCCACGTGTTACGTATGCCGGCCCACCGACTTCCGCGACGTGTGTTGTTTGCGCGCCGGGGGTGTGGATGGAAGAAGAGGAGGGGTGGCCAAGCGATGACTTGGTCCAGAGGAATGAAGACCCTCACTTCTGAGCTGGCCTCGGTTGGAGCATCTCGGCTCCCTGGTTGGGGTCCGAAAGACGATGAGCACGTTTGGTTGGACACACTTGCTGATATGGCAAGGAGCCGACCTCAGTGGCGTTCGTGCTGTGAGTTTCTTTGTCCCACCCCATCCGTCTTAGCCTCCCCCTCCAACCACCATCTCATTACTTAGCCTTATATAATTTTGCATTATAATTTTTTTGATGCAAGCAGCCGGCTGGTAGCTTACCGGAACGATGCCCATCCGTTACCGGTAGCTCAGCCAGCTTTCACCAGTTGTTTTATTTCTCTCCTTTTTTCTTTGTATTGCGGCACAGTAGCTGAGGTGTTCCCCACCTCTAGCTAACGTGTATGATGATGATGATGCGAGTCCATTCCGGTCGCCGCTAAAAATTATTGTTGGGAGAAGCCGCTTGAGAGTTGGAATGAACATGGAACGGACGAGGTGGTAACATAGCCCTACTGGTCGATGTCGGTCCATTATCTGTGTACTTCCAGTGATTGTTGTGGTGTGTACGATGATAAATAGGCGTAGCCAAGCGACAGTTGTTATTGGTCTTATTCAACATGGAAGGTTGTTTGCCCTGATGGTTGTAGTAGGTTGGTCGATAGGGAATTTTGGGTGCCACCGAGTATTTAGTATCCACATGTTTTTTAAAGACACAGGTCCTTGGTTTGGAGAAGTCGTCCTTGGGTGACTGACCTATGAATTACATCAGGTTGTCTATCCTTGGACGTACCTTGTTGATTTGGACCGGGTTGTTATATATTCAACTAGTTGTCATTACTCCACTGTTCTAAGCACTTAGACTTTCCTTTAATCCTTATGCATGAGGAGTTTGATATAATGGGAGGGTGGTTTTCGGGAATAGGAGAACCCGCTTTATTCGTTCCTTGGGTAGTGGATATTTCAGTGGAGCGTGGAAAGACGGTTTTGGAGCTAGTTGACAAGGTTGTTAGATTACCGATGTCTGAATCAATGCACCTAGTATCCAGCTTGGATGCACTCGTCTTTTGGAAGTTTTGCTGAGATTTCTCGAAGAGCCTAGTTATATTTTCCGGTGTTCGCGGCACAGTACGAAGTTCGGAACTTTGTACGGGTGTCCTGTCTGGTTTACTCAAAATGCTGTTAAACTGGGTGCACTGGCCTAGGATTGCTCCCTAATGGAGGAATTGCTGCACGACTTCCTCGCTCAGAAATTTGAAACTGATTGGATAACAATCTTTCGGTGTCTTCTTTTTTAAACGTTGGCATTTACAGTTAACGTTAGACATATTACAAGCTTTCAGTATCGTTAGTGTTACTTTATCCAGACCCAACCTGTCCGGAACATTAAGAATAATCACACTTTTTGCTCTACATATTTGTTCGTGCACTTCAGAGGCTACAGAGGCAATCAACTGCCTTGCTTTACTCATTAGAACAGGATCAGTCTTCTTCAGTGGGTTATTGATGTAGTCAAGCATACTCAGGTGATCTTTGAGGGGTTCAAAGAGTGCCAGCGTTTTTCTCATCTCATTAAGTTGTAATTCTAAAGAAAGCAATTTATCACTTAGTTCTACGATGCGTATAGTTTTAGCCGAGAAACAGGTACGCTTTTCTTTTGGGGCCTCGCATTTTATTCGCTTTGCTGGTGGCGTGAAAAGTACACTACGCTTAGGTTGCTGAATACGGCGAGACTTCAGTGGGGCCATTGTGATCTAAGTTTGTCAAGGTTCAGACTCAAGCGCCAAGATAAGCTAATGATGCGATGAAAATCAACTTTATGTGATTTCTTGCAGTTGGAGTTTGATAGGTGGGTTAGATTCCATGGCTGCGTTTGTCGATAATAGCCACATTTCAACGAACGTGTCCAGACGTGCAACAAATCCAAGATGGCGAACACAGACGGCAGTTGGGCTCAGCTATGAGGACTCAGAAATTCGTCAGAGAGCATTCACCAAATTTACACAGATTGAATACACCAAAAGAAAAATATTGGTGTATAATCTACACAGAAAAAGCACGTATAGCAGAGTAATCTGAAAGAAAATGTGCATTCCAGCACGGTAATCCAAAAATCCGCGGCGCCCGTTGGTACGAATACATCCTGTCCAATGACTACCACCGCGATCAACGGTCAGGTGTATTGAACATCCGTTGAATCAGAGTCTGGTCGGTTTAACCATCTGGAGTATTTAGAAGGCGTCATAAACTGCACGGGTTATACGATGGGTTAAGCTTGCTGAGTAATTGTGTAACGGGAGCAACAAATACATCAAGATGAGAAGTAGCTGAGTACTCACGCGGTATTACTGTTGCTATCAAATCGTGCTTCATTTAACTCATAGGCTGGCATCATAGTGACTTATTCGCCACCAAAAGCAAGTTCTAGTTTTTCCACCCTCCTTACGAGCACTGGAAGTGCCTATGACATCCTTGTCACACCATGACACACAAATTTTTACTCTGAACCAGATCAGCTAGGAAATATGTGTTAAGTTTTTTCAGTGCACTAACAGCAATCAAATTATATCAGCTTTACACGTGAACCCAATGAGTGGTCCAAGAAAACTGCGGTACTGGTACAAACAGGTCAGTTATACACCGCGTTACACTGATCTCCCGCTTTGATTGAGCTATGCGGCTCAGATGCGAGACACCCAACTTACGGCAGAGCAGGAATTCCGCTGAGAGCAAATGGAATGCCCGTCGAAGCACTTTTGATGAAACGATAGAAAAATACCTCTCTTCAAGACCAGTTAATCGAGCAGCAACCAAAAATCTGAACTACCACTAGACATTTTAGTAGCAAACTAGGTGAACTGTTAATTCCACAATATTTGTTTGTAATTTCTCATACTACTAAGCAAATGGTGGAAAATAAAAGTAGTGGTTGTTGATGTATTGTTTACACAAAGTGCAACTTATAATTGCTTCTTTGGTGAGTTTCACACAAAGCATCAGTTCGACCATTCGCTCTGGTAAGAGAAGGGTCTGCATTAAGTAGAGGCGTTAAGTTCCCTGCATTAAGAGGTGTAGCTCACTTGACGGTTAACGGAACATGAGTAAACATAGATGGCGGTCACGTTTCATGACAAAAAATCACTCAGAATAGTGTGACGGAATTGCCCCACGGCACTATGGCGGCTTGTCGATAAAGAGGCGGCAAGTGTTAAACCAATCCACATTTAATGGTGTCCTTTTTCTTCCAGCGAGACCAGCGATCATTGAAGTGGGTCGTCCAGAGCCGTACAAAGTGAGTTCCGGCTCCACTTTAAGTTTGGAGTGTGAAGCTTCCGGCTATCCTCCTCCTATGATCATTTGGCGATTCAACTGGGGCTGCCTACCCGACGCCTCACGCTCGCGTACCGAAGTGATCCCTAGTGGGGCTGGCTGTCGAGGATCGCGCAGTCGATTAACTGTTAACAACTTCAGGGCTGGAGACGATGGCATATACAATTGCGAAGCCCTCTTGTCAGGCTATCGAGCAATGTCACACGATTATCTCGTCTTACTGAATGACTGATCGGGCGATGTGCCATCCCAGCAAATGCAGCCAGTGCAAATGGACCTTGATCTCATGAACTAGCTGTATGCTGTTATCAGTTTCTTACAGATATTGCCCTGACTCAAGACCCATATTCATCTCTGGACAATATCCCCTTGCTAGTATTTCTGCTTCTGCTACTGTCAAAGATAAATTAATTTATATTTTGTTCAACGCGTTCACTTTGCAAACATTATTGATGCTCTTGGGTGTACTTCAAGTCTCCATTTCGGGATGAAGAATAAATTGTTTGATGAAAAATTGGTCATTTTGCTTCTTCACGTCTATTTGACGAAGTGAATGCTTGCGAATTCTCCAATCAACGAACGTAACGTAACTATCCATTTTAAATAAATGAATGGTTTATTCTCCCTACAGGATGAAACATACCTACAGAGGTGTGACCATAATACTACCAACTTGCATGATCGGTAATTGTACACAAATGTTACTAGTTAACCAATATATACTGGTTATGTGTGTATATATGTATGGGAACATGTAACTCATCAAGTTGAGTGAATTTGTTAGTTGCTCTGAACTTGTGATTTGTTCGGTGAATTCGCCAACATAGGAAGAGATCAAATGAACTCTTTGAATGGCATGACGTTCCCGAATTTGGTAAGATTCTTCGGAAAGGCAAAAGGCAGTGACTTTACTTAGTGACGAGTCATATCCGCTACGTCACAGTGTGGTTAAGCGGACATTTGTAGCTTCTTATAGCGAGAGCCCTTGTCAAGCGGAAGCCCACCATGTCCTGGAACACTGTCGTCGAACCATTCGCTGGAAGAGGATTAACCCGTACTCTCCAGGTGGCACCACATGGAGGTTGTTCGTCTAGGTGTGGTCATGCTTGTGACTGTAATTTCCTAGTTGATCGACATCTTTGCAGGTGAATGAGCCGTCGTTACCGGTGACTAGACGCGCTGACGCTATCGAGCTGGGATAGTTAGTATGTGAGCCCTCCAACTGCTATCGATCCGGCACTATAGGGTCAACGCCCATGATGCAGGAAGCTCGTGCCCTGTGGTCTAACTCGCGGCACCTGGCCTACGGACCAATTGTGAACGCATACGGAAATGTCCCGCGCGTTGTTCTGTGCTGTTGATTCACACAGGTCAGATTATGCCAGTATGAGTGAAGGACGTGGTCTGCATACCCCGCGATAAAAGTCCCCTGAGCGTTGTACCAGATGATGGCTGGCAGAGAAAATGTGCTGTAGCATACCGAAATCGAATAATACTTATTTGTAGGAATACCCTTACAAGGAGGTGGCATGGGAGTTAAGTTGATTAAACGCAACTCTTTGAAACTAGGCGTGCTCCGAGAGCTGTCAAAACTATTCCTCACTTGTCCTTCCGGGACTTACCGGCAGAACACATCCCCTAGGCTGGTTAGATGCTTCGGAAGTCCACCATAGGATAACGGAAGGCTAGTTGCAACCTAACATATCCCGCCACCCCTACATGTTCATAGCGAAGTCCATAGTACGAAAGCGGTACGCACTGCTCGTCGGATGGGCGAAGTATGTATAACTGAAGAGCCCACAACAGGTAACGCAGCTGGTCAATGCTGTACTGTGTGTGTGTGGTGGTTTTCCCTCAGGATCCCATTAAAGACTGCGGTGGACCGGGGTGGGGTTAATCAACATAGTGCCAAATTGTTGACTCTCTAAAGGCACCCATTGTGCGTATGGAATGCGACGTACATTCCTAAAGTTTACCACCGATTGCTTTGGGGTGCACTTCGGTCATATCGACCACCGTCACCGTGTAATCGAATTCAAGATGGAAAGCGAAATGGATAAGACTTTCCATTTTTCGGTGTAAAGTTGAAGAGGAATTCAGACTATACGCTCACTTAATCTGTGCATCACAAGCCTACTTTGACAAGACAATACCAGAACGTTAACAGTTACTGTCGTATAAACTACGAGTGATAATTTGTTCTCACCGCCTTCGCGAATGCTTCAAAAATTTGCTCTAAAAATACGATTGACATTGAGCTGAACCTCTTATTATCAACAATAAGTGAATATGGATTACTTATGTGATTAGTAACATGATACGCGAACACAGAAAATAGTGAAAAACGCTACCGTTTAAAATGGGACAAAAATGACAGAAGATTCCGGCATCGTCTCCGCGAGAAATGTTGTTATGCAGCCGAAGGGGATTATTGCGCCAAGTTAGGAGGCCGTTACGTAATTCCAAATATAAGCCAGAACCTCAATGAACCGCTTCATTTGTCCAGCTCTTTCAGTCTACTTATGGCAGCGAGTTCGTTGGCCGAATTGAGAGAAAGCTGCCGACCAGGATTTCAGGACACATTTCATGTAATATGGTCGTGTATGGTTCACAATCTGACGACTAGCTTTATTGCTCAGCACATCCTGGGCTGCTCTACGTGCTGAAGTTCCAACGAATCGTTCAGTATACTTAACCAACGGAGCAATGCTTTTTTTTCTTCAGTTTGCCAATGCCTCACGATTCGGCAGGTGAAGCACAATTTAAGCAAATACGCTGAGTTCATAATAACCATCACTCTGCCTTGGTAAGGTTATTTGATTGTTTCACATTCAAAATTGGATGACTTTGAACGTTGTGTCCTATTACATCCAACACGACTATTCCATGGACTGTATGTTAACCGCCGCTGAGAATACCCGAAATTTGTGAATTCAGAGGATGCTGCTGAAATATACTTGATGGTGTTTGCGCAGATTGGAAGAGTAATTCGGAATGAGTTCAACTGCGTGGATAGTATACAGTGTTGTTCCAACCGAAGACTCGTGACAGCAGCAAGTAAGAAGCAGGCTTGAGCCATAGAATATGAATTGACGGCCCAAGTCGAAAAACTATCGACCTCCAGTTGTCAGCTCCAATGCTCGAGAATGCGGAATGTGAATTGTATGGACTAATCGCGTCGAATCAGCTAGAAGTCCGGTCATTGAATGACCGGCTAGCCATTTTAATGTACGCCATGCTTGATGAAGAAAGCGTTTTAAAATCGATGAACTTGGATGACGGTAGGTAGAAAGCCAGTCTGTGTGAAGTAATTTGAAGTTTATATTTTAGGAAGATGGACCAAGCAAGATGTATTGCAGATAATGGATTTTGCTTGGTCATATCAACCAAACTGATGGCTATGGTAGGTGCAGGAACAAACAGCAACTAACAAGAAATATCGAGGAGCACACAATGGTGTCTTCGTGACACAGTTACTTCATGGTCGGCCGATGCGACTCGATCAGATTAACGAGAGTTGTTAGACTATTGCCTGAGAAGCGAAGCGCGGAAACATAGTGTAACAAACCACAAAGCCTTTCTAAGCTGAAGTACGGCACGGGTAACAGAGCTCCATACGACCAAAGCAAAGCGAAGTAAATATGTATTTGATATTGACCCCATGAGTTTAAGTTGCACTAAGGATTCACATACCGTCGGTGGGGACCCCTAAGCTCAACTACAAAACCGCTGTAGCGTGCCACATTTTCTAATCTAGTTACATTGTGGTAAAAGTAGTCAATCGACATGAATGAGGTATCGGTTTCCATTCACAAATCTAACTGGTGTAGATACCGAGCATGCACAAGGTCACCCGTGGGTAAATATCTTAAAGGCGCGCAATGCAGGAACAGTCTCTCGCATTGTTGAGAAATAAGACATTTATTGCTTGCAGACATTTCGCTATCAGTTGGCGTGAAAGCATTACCAAAGGTGAGTTGGTAAGTTTGCTGCAGTTGCAAGTGACAGACAAATCCGCGGATACCAACGGACCCTGAATTTGAATTATTGCTAACGGAAAACATCTAATTTTCCCCTCGTCGTTTCGCTTGCATCAGAGTTCGTTTTTCAGATGCGTTACCTTCCCACTGTTGACTCATTCTTCTGCCCATAATTCGATCGGACCCATATGCCTCGTTTACAGACCTTTGTCCGCTCGCATGTCTATTTTCCAGCGTCGGATAGAGCCCCATAGTCGTCCGGTGAACCTTGACATTCAGCGGGTTCAGCAGGTTGGGTTCAGTGCATACTGTCAAGCACTATAATGTATTATCTACACTTGTTAAGGATACATCTTGGACTTCCTTAACCGAATGTTCCCCAGACGTTGCCTGGGAAACGTTCACAAGGACGTTTAGCACACTGGTAGCGCACGCATCTGAACAGAAGTATTTCCAACGTAAAAGTGACTGTCATTTCTGAGGAGCAGGAAACGTAAACGCATGTCCCGGAGGGATTTGATATGGCGAGCTCACAAGGAATGCCCGAATGCCGAAACCTGGACTACATATATAACATATCGTAACTTCCGTGTGGAATTGGTCCGCGAAGAAAAGGTCACGCATCAGCAGGATTTAATGTAGCGAGGCTGCACGAACCGCACTTCTGTACAGGCACGTTAAGGCCCTTCGAAAAGTGAAACGCGGGATTCCAGCACTGATCACGGCTGATGGATACATACGGTCCGCAATGGAAGCAGCCGATTTCCTACGGCTTCAGTACTCCCAAACTTTCCAGCAGATACCCAGCCCACATATTCTCCTCATTTCCATTACTCGACTGTCGGGTTCATACAGCACCACATTCACTGCGGAAGCTATGCTTAAGTTGTTATCCTTGCGTATACACAGTTGTCCTGGAGTCGGCAACATTCGACCGAAGATTCTGCAGGCAGAACCACTGGCAGTTTTCTATCAGCGATGTCTAGAGGAAAACCACATTCCACCAGTATGGAAGCGAGGGGCCATCCCTCCTACACATAATGGAGGTAGCCGCACTGACCCTACGAACTACCGTCCAATTACGCTACTTCCTGTACTATCCAAAGTTATGGAATCAATCCTTGCAGATGCGCTGATGCAGTATCTGGAAAGCGAAAACTTAATAGCTCCTGAGCAACATGGCTTTCGTCAAAAGCGTTCATGTACTATTAACCTATTAATTACAGGTAATAGCTGGACTGAAGCCGTTTATGATGGAACAGGAGCCTGTGTCACCTACCTGCAGTTCTTAAAAACTTTTCATTGCTTAGGCCATCGAATTCTCCTTCATAAGCTTCAGAACTTTGAAATTGGCGACCCAATCCTGAGTTAGATAAGCAATTTTCTACACGAACGTCGGTTGGAGGTGAGAGTCCGGCAATTGCCCGATGCAATTGTTGTGGAGTGTGATGTACCACAACACTCGGTTCTTGGGCCTCCTCTATTCTTGCTATTCATTAACGATTGTGCGAGGTCAATTGCTTCTGATTTACT